GTTTTTTTTGCAAGTTTTTTTATTAATATTTTTTAACGATTTCATCCTTTAAAATTAAATTTGTTGACAATTAAACTTTTTGATTGAACTCAGATTTATAATTCAACTAGTTGCAAGTTTTTAATATTAAAGTTTAAGAGTTCACTTGAGTGTCTTAATTTTTTTTTTAAGCCGATATTTTATTTTTATTTTTAAGTCTTGTTTTTTTTTATTTTTTATGTCTTTTCAATTAAATTAGCATTGGTTGTTTGATAATCCGAATAAGCTCAAGTATAACTTTTTTTATTTTTTTATATTATTTAAATTATCACTTACTGATTTAATAACTTGAGACTTGGATTTTTTTTTTTAACCTGACTCCTTTTTATGTAAAAAAAAAAAACTCACTCCACAGCAAAGCTTGGGTGTTTGGTTAGATCCTAAAAAGCTATTCTAATATTAATCGATTAGATCCTTAATTGTTGTTTTATGTTGCCAGCACAATCCATAAATTGTCGGCACCAGGCTAGGATTTCCATGGGGCACCCGCAAGGGCCACAAACGCGTTTATCACTCCGTTTCTACTTATTTTATTCTTTTTGCAACATCAATGCATTATTACAAGGCCACCATGTGATGTATCCTCGACAACGAAAATAGATTATCAAATCATCAATTAGTTTTCTCACGAGACAAAAAACAACACATCATTAATTAGATCATAATTATCAAGATTATGCGTGGCGGTTGATCCAGAAAAGGCACCAGATCATCATCATGATACTCAGTTTCTAGACCTGAGGTGCACCCATGTTTTGTCTCACAAACCCATGTTGTGCTTCGTGTTCTGTGTCTTGGGTATGGTGTTTTGAGTGTAAATCCCAGACCCATCAGGTTAGCCATAGCGTATTTAACAAAAATATCTTGAAATTATATTCAGTATAACAAATACATAGATGCATTTATATTTTTGCAAATTGAAAGAAAAAACCAAAAACAAAAAATACATTCGAGATATCATGTTACTTTGAGTTAAAAAAGTGACTAAAGTAATAAAACTAAATCCATCGCATTCTCTGCTTTGTAAAATAATAAATAAATAAATTAAATGAGTTGCATATTGCATTACCACTCTCTACTAGAGATTTGTGGAGATTTCTTGTTAATATGAACAAAGAAGATTCTCTCTTTTTTCCTTTCAATTTTTTTTTATCTATTTAATTCTCCTGCATTTTATTTTGATCGATCAAGTTTTTAATTTTAATTCTATGTTAAGCAATGAGTTAGGTTAAAAGAATTTTTATTGTTATTTTTTTTAATAATTAACCAAATTACTTTTAAATCGATTAAATTAACTAAGTTATCCCATACCAACCTTTACATAATTTAATTTAAAACTTAAGTTTTATGAGAGATTGGACCGTAATATTTTTTTTGTTAATTTTATCTTAATATTTTTTTAAATGATCAGATAGATTATTTTGAAACAGCTAATTTAAATAAGTTACATTAAAACAACTTCTATATAATTTAACTGAAACAACTTCTATATAATTTAATTTTAATTTTAAGTAAGATAATGAATCTATAGATTTTAAAATTAACTTATTAGATTAAATTTAATAATAATATTAAATAATTATTATACTTAATATTTTTAATTGCACTGGAAAAAAATAATTTATCTGATCTGAAAGCAGCGTAACCGTGCCAATAAACTAGTAATATTCGAAGCATCCAAATGGATACATTTTTGTGCTCAAATTAGAACGAGATGCCAGTCCGATTGCATCAGAGCCAAAAGCCCACAAGAAACTCCGCCCATGTATGGGCTTAAAGGGCTGTCAGGAGCAGGGCGTCCTCTATTAGTCACACACACCAACCAAAAACATTTAAATGGCGTGACAAAATCCATTACCGGAATGGGGAAGATCGAGTAAATTATAACTCAATCAGTGTATTCTATAAAATAAATTAACGGTTTATTTATTCAATTGATTAATTAGTCCCTTGACCGGATTTGGCCATTATAGTGATTCTCAAATTTAGTCATTTTTTTTTCTTTATACATTTTCTTCCCATGTAGCAGTTTTTTTTTTTTTTGTAATATTTCTGAATTCCCAACTCAAAAGGTAATAAATACCATGAGACCTGTGCTTGTGTGTAATGTAAGATACCTTCACGTATTTTCAGCTATTGGAATTCCTTCATTTGTGGTATGCCCCTGATATTATCATCACCACGAGTGTCGAAATATCGTAAGCCATTCTTTCATGATGACTTCAATTTGGGGTCTAGAAGAGAGGGGGAGAATTTTTAATTCTTCTCGTACACTTAAGCTTCCAGTTAGGGGAAATGGTTAAATCCAAGAGCTGTAGATAAAAAGGAGAAGGAACGCAAAAAAGAGAGATTTTGGATCATTGATATTCTATCTATCTGCTTGATTTAAGGGTGTTTACCGTTGTTTTTTTTTTTTTTTTATATATGGGTTCTGGTTGCTTGCATGTGCTTTTAAGGGGGTTGATCTGTTAGCTTGTCGTTCTCCACACCAATTGATTGAATTATTTCTTTCTTGTTGTGTTTATTATTTCTAAGATTTTAATTTTAAACCATGCAACTGATTTTCTTTTCGTTGTCATGTTTATTGTTTTTGAAAATTCAATTTATTCTTTTTTCAAACAGCTTGGTTTATTCCAAATCTCACAATATATATATAT